CATTGAAAAATAAACTTTTTAATACTGTTTATGGGTTATACGTTGTTTCCATTCATGATTGCGTATTTACGGGAGGAAAATTAACTGGCTAAGGTAAAAAGTTCAGTACGTAGTATCCTCAGTGTATCGTTTTGTCAGGATGATACGGATTAATAGTTTAACTTATGCAGTTGATAAATTCTAAAATGAGAACTAATCTTAATATATATATATATATATATATATATATATATATATATATATATCTTAAACCTCGCGTTTTGTTGGCTCGGTGTCCCCCACTCCGTTGATTGTAAATAGTGTATATAGATATGTTTGTGTATAAGATGTTAATTTTACTTTCAGTTCATTTTTATTGTGTGTTTTTCTTATATATATATATATATATATATATATATATATATATATATATATATATATATATATATAAGCTACTGTACAGAGTAGTAAGCTACACATATATTAAGATATATATGTTAGTGGACGGTGCTGAGACTGTCGGTGTGTCCCTGGCCTGATCGAATCTCTATTTTTAAAATTCTAGCTTTGAAGAGGATCCCATCATTGACTTATAAAAAGAAAATAGCGGGATTGAAAAGTCAATAAACATAGAGGAAATGAACATTCAGTAGTTTATTAAATAATTAATAAGTGACCTTATTCCCAATTAAATTAGTTATGTTTAAATTTAATACTCAAAGGTCGATTTAGGAAAAGTTGTAAATATATATATAAGGGCGTGTCCCAAAATTAACGCAAGATTTAAATTAAATATAAAACACGGTTATTTCTTCTTTTGATTTCTTTTTCTTTGTCAGTTTAAAAGCTGATAGTCTAGGATAAGTAAAAATGGAGCGTTATACGACCGAACAAGGTGTTTTCATTTTTTAACAATATTTTAAAAACCATAAAAGTTTAGCGGTCACTGTTCGAACATTTTGCGCAAAATATTCAATGAAAAATTATGGTCAGAATAGTGATTTAAATTCATCAACTTTGAAGGGAGTAATTGAGAAATGCAAGCAGACTGGATCAATTGATGATGTGAACACACTGGTCCTCCAAAAAAAAGGTGCTCAAGTTTCAATATCAAAATAAGACAATAGGCCACAAGACTTTCATTATTTTAAAAATATTGTACAACAATCAAAGCCCGTTGTTCGCTAGTGCAACGCTCCATTTTTACTAACCCTAAACTATCAGCTGTTAAATTGACAAAGAAAAAGAAAACAAAAGAAGAAAGAATTGTGTTTTATATTTAATTTAAATCTTGCGTTAATTTTGGGACACTATATATATATATATATATATATATATATATATATATATATATATATATATATATATATAAGTATCCTTAACTCATTGTGAGACAGATTTTAATATTTCTCAATGAACAATTAAATGAATCAATCAATAAAAATTGAAAGTAGATAAAATGAAAATAATGGAATGTAATATAGAATAGAATAGAATAGAATATAAAATTAAACTTTATTCTGGGACTAATTCCCTTTAGAATAACAATGATGAGTTAATACAAAGTAAAGTACAAATCTGGTCAAAAACTAACTTATAAAAATTTTAATATTATATACATTATTTAAAAAGTATGTAACCAGTAAAAAAAAAAAAAAAAAAAAAGATATATATACAAATGAACATAAAATCTTCTCAAAATTAATTAATTGTGATGGAAAAAAAAAAGAAGAGAAATTACATATTTATATATACATAACACAATTTATAAACAATAGGCTATCTAATGGAAAACTAACTTAATACAAAATGTAACAATATCTACAGTGGTTTATATAATAATATGCAGACACTAAGATAAAATAAAAATCTTATGATACTTGTGGTGTAATGAAAAAAAAAAAAAAATAAAAGGAACTATTTTTACGTACATTCTCATATTGACACACATAAAGACAAAGATATAAAATATAAACATATATGACCGAAAAAAAAAAGCACAATCTGAGGAGAAGATAAAAATAAATAAATAGTAAAAATATTAGTCAAAAAGATTTAAAACGTGTCTGTATGCTAAAGAAATACAGTTTTTATCTACTTTATGATTAACAGGATTCTGTTTCATGTGAATGTGGATGGATTCGGAAATGAGTCTTTTTTCATGGTTAGGAACCGTGGCATGAACAAGTTAAATTTAAAAAAAATACTCATATATATAGTTTTGTTTCTATTGCCCGCGACCCAGCATCTACATGTCTTTTATTCCCTACAATCTAGGTAAAAGTATTTTGATTTGATGTATTGAAAATGGTTGAGTCAATCCTTATATTTTTGTTACCAAAACAGGGAAATGACCTTAACATAGTATTTTCATTTGTGGAACACCTTTCGCCAACGGATTTTGGCATTTGGAAACCCTTTATTCACTGTTTGATGCAAGAAAATTTAACCAGGAAACTTTCAATTCAATATCGAGCTGCAATAATGATGTGAGACATAAGAAACAATTTTTTTAGGGGAAGGGAGGAGGGATGAGTACTCTTGTATTCTTTTTTCTTAAGCAACAGTAATAGCTAAACCGATATCGAACCCACTTTTCCCGGTAGCTCTGATCGCACCTAAGAATATAGAGATGTTCCACTTTAGAATTTGAACTGTGTTAGTAAAGGATTCGTATCCAATTATTAACTCCAATTAATAAAACGGGTACTGATCTATCAGTCAGTCAGTTATTTTGGTTAAGCAAAACACATTTTTTTTTTTTTACTAAATGCTTGTTTTCACAATATGAGATTACAAAAGAATGATTGATTTCGTGATGGCCGAGCATTTTAAAGCGACAATTTTTTTTTTTTTTTGTCCTTCACCTACTTTTCTTAGGCTACACGGAGTTTTCCCGGCCAGGAAGTAAGAGCGGAGGGTTAATGCCCGAGTTAAAAGCTCCTCTGGCACCGAGATGCTAACTCGTAATCATTTTATCTTATACTTCTGTTATCAGGTTGCAGGACAACGCTCTACCCCGCTCTCTTGTAAGCGTAAACTTTTTGAGTTTACTCGGCTCCAGTCTGAGTGGGTCGAAATTTATTTAATGGTGGACCCATGCCATTTCGAACTTCCAACTCTAGTTATAATAATAGTTGTAGGTTTGGTTTATTCTAGATTACAACAGCTCGAATATTATCTATAATGCAGTTGAATAAATAGCGCATAAAAGATACTAATACTTTCTACATTTTTTCAACAAAATATTCAAGGTCTCAGGTCTGCTTTGCATATAAGATATAATGCAATATTAGTCGTGAGTATAAGCTGAGTTGCATCTAGATTCAGTCACAATATCTCGTGTTGACAGCAATGTTTTGATATTTTTTCTCCCCTAGTTTAAACAAAACACACGCTAGAGTGAAAAAAAAAATAATATAATCAGTAGTCGGCCTTGGCTTTGCATTGTTAGTCATAAATGTCGAGCAAAAGTTTTTATAATTCTTTAGCTGAAATATTAGTAGTAAATTTGAATTATGTTAAATTTTTGATGTCGAAGACAATAACTATTAACTGAAACGGTTAGGGGCTACAGTACAAATAAAAATGAAATTTATTTATTTACTTAATTTACTAGTAAGTAAGTTTTTAAAAATATAACTTTGTTAATTTATGAAAACACATATTTCTGAATCGCATTATATCAAAAACGGTTTTCTAACTAAGCGGAACTCTTTGCTATTGATAGTGCATATTAGCATTTCTTGAATCATTTTATCTATACAGAGAGTAGACTAAAGGGTAAGTATGTAGGTAACAAAAAATATTCAAATTAGTGATGTTAGGCCTCCCCGAGTTATTAAAATGCTTAGAAAAATATGGTTAGATTCCACTAATAAAAGTAGAAAATTTAAGTATTCAGTTTTTTTTTTAAGGAAGTCATGTTTTTTTGTTGGATAGGAAGCGATAACTAAAAACTATTTATTAGTTCATGGTCTAGACCTTACTTTATTAATTATTTCCTCTTCGTTTCTTGCCTATGTGTCCAATTAAATAAATAAACATTTCTTATTTTTGAAGTTTTCTTTAATTTTATTTGGACGTTTCGGGGATATTTTTTTCGCAAAAATATCATGAATATAAATGTAAATATTGTTTTATGGATTATTATATTATTGTTTAAGGTTCTAGGTGGGGTAATCGTCGTAGGTGTTAATCACGTTTATGATCGTGACACTTGGACCCACCGAGGTTCACTTCAATAAATAATCTCCCAGTATTAGATTAGATACAAGAGTAAAAAAAAAAGTATTACAAAATGGAGAAAATAAAACAGTCCAAACTATTAAAAATAAAAACGGGGAGCAACAAATGGGCTACAAGCACGAAGACATCGAAAATGAAGGAAATCATATTATGTCGAACACGAATTGGTAACTGCCCATTTACAAAGCTTTTATTCTTAGAGGTCTAGAAGCACTCACTTGTCAAAAATGTGCCAACGGACCACAGTTAGTGAAACACCCATCAGCAGAATGCCATCGGTCCAAAATAATCGGAAAAAAAATTAAATTACCAACGACAATGAAAGAAATATTGCAAGACAGTGAAGATAATGTCACCACTCTGTTCCAATACTTAATAGAAACCAAATTTTAAAAACTTACCACCAATCTAGGATAGAGGAAATTATAAAAAAAAAAAAAGGATCTAGTCAATCATATGTATCCACTACACTAACGAAATTTATTATTAGATAAAATTAAATTTGATTTAATTGATAGGAGACCATTTGTACTGGAAATACGTTTACGTATATTTGAGCGAATTTTTTAAAAAAAGAAATGAATGTCATAAAAAAAATAACGTCATAAATTTCCATCACTCCAGTTATGGGTCAAATCTAGCTGTAGATTTCATAGCACGTGTTAACACAACATGTAATCTGTGACAGAAATATATCAGAAATATAATATAATGATAACAAAATTGTTGGATTCCTTATACAGTTTCAATAATCAAGAAATAATAACTCCAAGTTAGATAAAATATAGTTATATTATATTTATTGAAATTTGGTTATATACATTAGGTATATTCATAATAATTAAATCTTGTACATCTTCACTAATGTCATATAAATATCATCATATTAATTTATACAAATACAAAATATAATGTTTGTAGAAGTCTTAAGTAAGATCAAAGTTTTCTCATATATGAGCTCACTGCTGACCGCCATAATACTTGACAAGCCGCTGCTATAATAACTGCATGTTGTAGTCAGGCAATATTGATTTGACACGGCTTTCCCATTCCCTAAGTCTTTTTTCTTTTTCTCTTTCAAAGTACAGTATCCGAGGAAGCTGTTTCCATAAACCAAATGTTTTCAGCAATAATATCCTGAAAACAAATTTAAACATATTTAAGGAGCTTACTTTCAAAAGAGAACATAAAAATAATCTTTTTAATTTCATTTGGATAAACTGAACGAAACATTAACCACTTTCCATTAAAACTAAAAGAATCTATTTCTCATCCAAGAATCAAGTTGTTTGTATCAAAAGGGAACAAATACATTCCCTATAATATTGTTAACTGTATTCCGTTCAAAGGGAACATATCCTTGTTAAATTGTTTAAGGTGAGAGGGCTATGCACGCTGATGCAAAGTTCGCATACAGCGTGCATAGCCCTCTTACCTTATAATGCCCTTGGGCAATAAAAAGAAATTGAAAATATATGTATATATAACATGTATATATTGTACTTTGTAATAAAGAAATTCCTGGGGGGTAGGAAAAAAAAAAAAAAAGTTAAATTGTATAAAACGTGCACAATGTTTTTTTCAAAAGGGCACTTATCCAAAATGGAATTTAGCAGTTATGCTAAACTATAATTTTCTCATAAAGTAGCGTAACTATTGGGCACTAGGAGCGTATTGTCACAGAGCTGATAATTTTTGAGAGGACACATTTTTGTTGGATTATGAGTTTTTGGATGAAATCATATTTTTGTGGGGTTCCAGTTTGGACAAACTTTTAGACTAGGCAACGTGGGAAACAGAAAGAACAGACACAGTAAGTGTAATTGAATATGATATCCAATTGTTTTAATCCTACTTTGGATTGCACTGTTTTTAAAAATAGGACATTAATAAAATGTCTTGAGGGAAGGGCATGCGCCATCAACCTTAGAGGAAGTTAAAAGACGCAACTGATTACTAAGTTGCAAATTGACAAAAGTAGGCCCAACAGTTTTTATAAATCGAGAAGGGAGCTAACTTACCCCGTCAAAAACTCCAAGATCCTAGTTCTTTTCTCGCAACAAGCACGACCTCTACGGAAAATTCCGATCGGCGATGCATTTTACCGATGGTAAAAAGTATTTTACTCCTTACTGTCGTGTCTACACGGATGCCACGTTCTATTCAGTCCATTTTCCCAGCCGATTACACTGGATTGAAGGGCAACAGTGGAAATTGGGTCTGCCTTACTTCACCACTTGCGCAATCATGATTTGAGTATCGATATGCTCCATCTGTTTGGCAATAATTGTACTGGCCAAAATAAAAACACATACATGATTCAACCCCTTTCTTTTGGGCAATGAAACATTCATATGATCATGTATAAGCAATAAAGATTACTTTTGCGGTTGGAGCTCACTGTTTTCTAATCTCGTTCGTTTTTACACGCAAAAAAAAAAAAAAACAACTCAAATAGGATACGTACTATTTTGAAAGCAAGATTACAGTTAAATGTTTTGTTATTTTCTTTCGTCGGCCTAAGACTCCCACAGAAGTCCTATACTGCAGTTAAAAGTTAAACTTTTCAAAAATTAATGTTGAACATATCGGTTCATTTTGACGAATTGCTTTAATATTAATGTATATAATTCAATTTAATTAGTAATTTGTTCAATCGATAATAACTATCCATAACCAATATTTAGACATCTAAAATTATTATTAGGAAAATATTATGTTATGATACATGAATTTACCTGTCATAAGCGTTTTCTATATACTGGAGTAATAATTCTTTGTTGTTGACACTCTTGTAAGTAGCGTTCAACCATTTTTTAAAAGTATTTCTAGTAATTTCCTTGTCATACCAAATGGTAATTTCTCTTCTCCGTCTCCTAATTTCATGCATTTTCTGAAATAATAGCAAAAATACAATATTGATCAGGTACAAATGTTTAATTGAAAATTTGATTAATAGTTGTCGATAAACTTTTTTTTAATATTTAGATTCAATTTTCAAAACAATTATTGCCCCATCGGATTCATTGTGTGTTTTTATATTAATTTATGACCCTCATTTTAGTGACTATATTCATTTCTATCAAAATCAAAACTCATTCTCCTCGTCAATCATCATAAAGTACGATTAATCTAATTTAAAATATAAGTTTGTAGTAAGACCCCTTTTTACCGAATTATTAACATCAGAATGAAAATTCGTAGATAGTTTCATCTCATCGTAACCAACAACTATTTTATTTACGAAAACCCTTGGAATTGGGCCGTTTTCAATGTGAAGGAAGGCAAACTTTGTCTATTTAATTAGGTACTTAAAACTCGTAAATAACCATTTGCTTTCTACTTGTATCGTAAGATAATTTGATAACAAAATCGAGAAAAAAAGGCGGCCTTCAAAAATATTGAGCCGTTTGGCGTGACTTACACCCCAAATTTTCAAAATAACGATGTTATATAGGGCAAACGGGCCAATATTTTTGTAGGCCACCTTTTGTAAATACCAAATGGGTATTTAAGAGTTTTTATTACCTAATTAAATAGACAAAATTGGCCCCCCTCCAGATTGAAAACGTTCCAATACCAAGAGTTTTCGTAAATAAAATAGTTGTAGGTTACGATGAGATGAAACTACTTACGAAGTTTCAGGAGGATGTTAATAATCGATAAAAAGGAGTCTGTACCACGGACTATATGTCTTAGGCCATAATAAACCTGACAGTTTACGTCAAATTAGGTTTTAAAATGTTCCTTAGTAATAAAACCAAAAAAAATCAATTAGTACTTCATGGATTTTCATCAATTAACATTGCCATCAATTTACATTCTGTACATTTTATTTTCACTTTATTCCTCACTCTGTTCTTCAATATTATTTAAAAACAACATGATTAATTTCACAATAAAACAATCAGATTTCAATTAAATAATTCCTGAAGAACCAACAAGACGCATTGAAAACGTTGATAAGAAGAAAATTCCAAAACTACTGAAATTTACTTCAAGGCGATAACAAGTAAAAAGTTCGACTTTCGATTTTGAACGAAAGTTAATATTCAATTTTCGCATCTCAAAAACTTTTAAATACGAATTTTTATAGCAATAGAAAAAATTTAATTTTCTCGAAAATTTTGCCCTAGACTGGATCCTTCAAAATTTTATCGACAACCACAAAAGTTGTGATGTAATTAAGATATACACAAAAATTATTATGGATTTAGGATTTTAGAGGTTGTGTATAATCAAGATACACCGTAAAAAAATTATAACCAAAGATATAAAATAAAAATTATTGAGAAGTTTTTATTAATTTCTATTTTACAAAGGAATGAAATGTTATCGATGTGTGTTGGAAGAATAATAATTCAGCTTTCCAACAGTTGTACTAACGTTGAATTTGGTGAAAATCCTGATAAGTTATGAATGATTTACTTATCGGTCGGAAAAAAAACTTCTCAATCAAGTATTAAATTATGCAATTATTGGTTGCTATAAAAATTCGTATTCAAAAGTTTCAAAGGAAACTAAAAACAATCTAACTTGCTTTTTCCTAACAAAAACTTACTTCGCTTGCTTAACTGAAAACGCTTTTTTGTGCTTTGTAATTTTTGATACATTATAACACGTTTAATACAATAATCAATATTTTTTCTTATTGCCACCAAAAAATAAATCGATTGTGTATAGGCCTTACAGTTGACAGAATGACTAACTCCAATTTCAACATTCTTTATTATTAATTTTAGTTATGTTTCTAGTGAGAAAATGTATACTTTTATTCATAGTTCTATATTTCAACACTGCAATCACTTACTTTGGAATCAACTTACTCAATCTCTGTAAAGATATAAATTTTCCAACTAGAAATATAACTAAACCGACATTACACAAAACTTTTGCAATTGGAGTTGGTCATTCTGTCAACTGCAAGCGTCATATAATAACCTAAAAATCCGGGATAAGCAAAGACAAAAATAAATAACATAAATTTTGTTTGATATTATATAAAATATTTTTTTATCGTCTCCCAGGGCCCATTAGAACGAACACCTGGATTTGTGTTGAATGTTTTTCGATGCAGTATCACAAAAAAAAATTGTTTGAAATAATTGACCCAATGACTCTAGCCTCCCCTTATTTGTAATAGATTGTTAATACAATTTATAAATATTTTATGTGTTTCGAATACACACACACACACATATTATATATATATAATAAAATTATTTTCTATTTTATTCTATATATGTATATACATATGTATTATATATTACGTACATATATTATGTTATATATTACATACATATATAGAAAGGACTGGGGTAGCCTTGCGGACCAAGGCACTTGCAATAGATAATCAAAGTTAAGCAACGCCGCGCGTGGCTAAATAGCACTTGGATAGGTGACCGTCCACCAAGGAAAGCCACGCCGCCCGTGATTCCCCTCTCCCCCTGGGTTTATGAGGACCGTCAGACTACTGGAGGCAACTCACATCAACCTTGTGTAGGGTTGATGAACCTACCCCGTACTTTAAATCGGGAATCGGGATGTGGTCTAGGAGACCAAACTCGCGATCAAAGATCTTCATGGTCTGTAGCGCGAAGAGTCGTAGATGAGTCAAGATTCGCTCTTCGAACTCCAGACGGCCGTGTAAGGGTGTGGAGAAGAAGAAACGAAAGATATGCACCCTGTAATTTTTCCCAGAGCCAACCTTTCCAACGTGGTTCCTTAATGGTGTGGGCTGGGATTTCAATGGAGCGCCGCACAGAATTGGTTGATGTTCGTGGAGGATCTTTGACGGCCATTCGCTATGTAGATGAGATTTTGGAACCTCATGTGTTGCCTATCCTCAACGAAATCGGCGATCGTTCTATTCTAATGCACGATAATGCACGTCCACATGTCGCCCGCATAGTGCAGACGTTCCTTCAACAGAACAATACTGAGGTTTTAGGCTGGCCAGCACGTTCTCCAGATTTGAACCCCATTGAGCATTTATGCGGTTACCTCGGAAGACGAATAAGAGCGCGCGAAACACTTCCTGATACATTTCAGGACCTTGAAAGGGCTCTTCGGGAGGAATGGGCTATCCTCCAGCAAAGGGACATTTCCCGACTGGTGGAAAGTATGCCGAGGCGTCTTCAAGAAGTAGTGAAGGCAAGAGGAGGAAACACGCGCTACTAAACGTTTGATGTAATTAATTTCTTTTAGAATAATAATGGTTCGTTTTTCAATTTTTTTTTCTCTAATCTTTCTTAACCAATCACATTTTGATTATTAAAGGTAAAAAAGATCATAAAATTCCATAAATAATAAGTATTATCTACGGATACCATGTATTATATACAAATTCAACTTTACAGAAATATTTTTAGATGAAAACCTGGAAAAATCAAGTGGATGGAATTTTTTGCCTGTCAGTGCATATATATATATTCATTCATAATATAGACAAAATCAATGGTGGAGGGGGGCTGCGTATGCCCATGATATATCTATATTTCTGTTGTCCAGTTATGACTGCTAACATTTTTTGGTAAACATTTATAATGTAGATAATTTAAAATTTCTAAAAAAAAAAAGTTATTATGAAGAATATAATAGGCCCATTATTATTCCTACAAACAAAAGCTATAAGTAAAGATAAAATAAATTACCCGTTTCCATTGATACCAGCCAGTCATGACAGTGTAGGTCTCATCTAACCTGGAAGCAAGGTCGTGTAATAAATCCTTCCTTGAAATTACTGTTTGTTTCCAAGCCAACATACTTTTTTTAAGAATGGATAGATCATATATATAAGAGCATCTACTTTGTATGTATTGCAAGTACTTCAAATAATTTCTCCATATATGAAATGTTTTAGCGCATAATAAAGTTTTGTAAAATGAATTCGTTTTCGTAATCAACATAGCGCAAATTTCTTGTTCCCTTATCTTCTTTGTTTCCATTTCTTTTATCATTCTTTCTTTTTCCCTCTTTTCTTGAATTCTAAGTTTTCGTTTTTTTTCTTCTAAACTTTTTCTTTCTTCTTCTTCTTCTTTCAGCTTTTCGGCTAGGAACTTTTCTTTTTCTTTCTTTTTCAATGCTAGTAAAGACCAACGATTTTTCCTCCCTTCTTCTCTCTCCTTCATTCTTTTTACAAGCGGGTGCTCAGTAGGTTTCGGCAATAATTTAGTTTTTTTAGCTGATTCATCCATATTATTAAAATCTTCCCTATATTGAATGGTTAAACGATGTTCATCTGACGTAGAAATATTATCTTTTAGTTTGATAATAATATCATTCTGTTCAGCAATAAGTGCTTTTTGGTTGTCAATAATAGATTTCTGAGCCTGAAATCTATTTTGATAAATTTCAGTACATACTGTTTTCATTTTAGTGGGAGTATCAGATTTACAATTTTCAAACAAGTTATCAGTCGAGCTGAAGGAATGAAGGGACATCATATTTTGTGTACTTATCCTCAATTGAGCCATGAAAGAAATAATTTTTTCCTCAAATAACTTTTCCTTTTCTTCTAAGTGTTTATTTCTCTTTCTATATTGAATGATTATCTTCCACAAATCGAAATATTTTCTGGACAGAATTGATCTACGATCAGTGGCAGGTAATGTTTTTGTTTTTTGTAACTTGAATTTTGCATTTGAGTTCTTTCGATGTTCCATTTCTTCTAAAACAAAGAAAATGAAAAACAAATATCCATAGGGATAAATTAAACTAATTATTTAAAAAAAAGGAGAATCATGCTTAAAAATTAAAAGTAATATTTTTTTAATATATATTTAATTGAGGTGTTTTAAAAAAAATAGTCTTCGTTTGGTACTTGGGGCCATTTTCGGGCTAACTGCATGATTTTCAGATTCACTCTCTACTTCGCCTATGCTTACGATGATGCAGTATCTACCAGCACCTCAATAAAACAGTTCTTTTCATATTAACGTGCTGTGAAAACAGGTACAGGCCTTTGGATCATGCAACCCTTGTGAATATCGGAAGTCACCGATATAGGACGACGACCGCTCGCAGGGAATAATAAACAATTACAAAAGCCACGAGATAAATTAATTTTATACTATAAATACTGCAACTTAATTGAAGAAATACAATTCAAACGTAAAGTAATATTGTACGGCTAAAGATGTTTTTTTTGGAGGGGGGGAGGAGTGGGAGAGGTTGGATACATGATATAATCGCCAAGGAGTGTCAAAGGGCGATGACCACTTCCCAAATTTTATTTTCCTCTTCTTAAAGTTATGCTAGGGAAAGAGGAATTATAAACATGGCTGTTAATATACAATTACACTTCCTGTGGTTGGTTTCGTGTCTTAACTCTTGTTCTCTGGTTTGAATGTTTTTTCCCCAAAATTTAAGCCTATCCAACATTTAGTTTCGCTCTAAAATCACAAACCTGCAATGTACTAAAAAAATCTTGGTCCTTTGAAAATGAGCTCCTCAGAAAAATTTTGATGGCACAACTTGTTCCTCGGCATTCTCTTCTGGATTCATCTGAGCAGCACCAAATATCCAAGGCCGACATTGACTGACTTTCAGGCTCAGAGACCAATTGGACAATATTCAAAGATTGTAGCTGAACAGGGTCAACTGATCGAGGAGGACCTACCTTTTTTCTCCGGGCAGAACATCCTTGGGATAACCTTAATGCCTTATGCAATCACATCACGATTTTCGATTAGAATATACGGCGTAGTTTCGTCACTGCTTCGCCTGGTCATACGCGCGATAGTGGAATAAAATGTAACACAACTGTATCACCAAATAGCCGCCGACTGGAATATCATATCGCCGAGGCATATTGCTCTCTGCATGTAGAAACCTTTAATGACAAAGCTAGAATCACAGTGCGGTAAATTTTATTTGAATATTCCATGGCCGATATATATGAATAAAAAAAAAAATCTTGAGTTAACATAGTTTTAAATATGAAATAATTGAATTTATAATCAAATAATGTAAGGGTAATATAATTGATCAGTCTGGAGTAATGTCAAGTTCAGAGAACCATTCTAATGTGACCTGTGACTTAGGTGCAAAACCAGGAGGACCCTTTCCCCAAAGGCTGATGGCGCATAAACCTTTTCCCACCCCTCCTAAGGTATTTTATTCCTCTCTTCTTCTTATTTTACTTGTTCATTAGGGATTCTCTAATTTTTTGGTAAACATAAAAAGTAAACAAAAGGTGTTCTTTATTTTTAATAAATTACTAACTAAAGGATAGTCAACATGAAGAATACTCATTTTGTAAACCGGCAGTTGTCTTCGACTTTTCTCAATTTCAATCTAGTGATATTCTATTTAACGAAGGAAAAACATCATATTGAACCGGAAGTTCGCAATATTATCGTGAGAATGGCCGGCCAAGGGCAATAGCAAGTGGATATCGCCGATGCTGTTGCCATTTCATGGCAGGATGTGCTCCAGGACTCAATTCAATAGACGCGGCGATCTTGAAGAACAGTATCCCCTAGATTGAAGAGCGATTATTGAGGATTTTCAATGATTACCTGGATCGGGGATAGTTTCCAAAAATGTGGAAGATCGCCGATTTGAGACTCCTCTACAAGAGAGGAAGCAGTGTTAAGCAGCGCTCAAAATCATATGTCTCCTCCCTATTATGAGCAAAATCCTGAAGAATCTCATCTTAACCAGCCTACGACCAGTTCTCACAAGGGCTATCCACGGTAATACGGTAGTAGCAAGGAAAAAGGAACCGCTGAGGCCCTGCTTTGACTGAGAGCGAACGTAGAACAGAAGGTTGAGCGGTATGTCATGTTGCTGTTTTTTGACATATCCTCCCCCTCCGATAGTGTCTGGTGGCCGCGAGCACTCCAGCAGATACAGAAGAACGATGCCACAAGCAACCTATAAGCCCTCGTAAGTAGCTACCTCCAGGGCAGATTTGTTAAGGTCAGAGCTGAAGCTTCCATAGCGATTTAATTTTTCAAAAATGTCTTTCCTCATAGTACTTTTAATTTTGTTTTGTTTTAAAAAATTAACTATTTCACACTGCAGATTTATCTATCTGCGTGGCGCTACAACCCTGGGTGGGTCTTGGCCTCCTCAATGAGCAGCCGCCATTCGATCCGATTTTGTGCTGCCGCTCTCCAGCCTCTGATCCGTAGCAGGCTCCATGCGTCCGCTGCCACTCCATCAACCCATCGAAGCCTTGCCCTACCAGGTCGTCCTGTACCGTGAAGGGCGGTGTCCAGTACTTTTCTAGGAATTTCTTCCTCTTTCATCCTTGCGACATGACCAGCCCAAATGAGCTTCCCCAGTTTTATAAACTTTACAACGTCCATATCTCCGTAAAGGTCATAAAGCTCCATGTTCCTCCTAATCCTCCATCTCTCACTGGGCCAACTATTCGACATAAAATTTTTCTTTCGAAAATCAAAAGATTTTTTCGTCACTTCTTGAGATGGTCCAGGATTGGGAAGCATAGGTAAGAAATGGGCGTATATGAGTCTTGTATATGACCAGTTTAGTGCCCCTGGTAATGGATCTACTGCGGAGAGTTTTCAGTAAGGCAAAATATGCCTTATTTGCTGCCACATTTAATTGTATAAATTGCAGCAATATAAAAATTAAAATTTGTATACATAACAGTGTTAAAACAAAAAATTACCCACAATGAAATAGGAATGAATATGTGACCTCCTTACTGACACCTTTGTCGGACTGAAAAGAATTCGAGGCCCTTATAAATAAATAAATAATTAAAATATCCAGTTGTAAAAGGAAATGGTCAGTTACGAAAAACGCATAAATTTAATATATTAGATGAAAAAAAAATATATTGTAATTATTTTTTTTAATAATATGCTGTACCATCAATGAGTTTTACTTTCAGTTCCTATAAGCTAAATATTATAATAATAGTATTACTTTATTTCGGGCGGCAATGACAAATGTTTTGAGCCTAAACATTAAATGATGAAAAGACCTATTTTTGCTGGAAGTATAGTGGTAATTGAATGTTATGTAATGCGCGCACCGCACCAAATGTTTGTATTAATAAAACCACATTAATAAAAATATCATATATAAACAACAATACCTCGATACATTTTTAGCAGTATATGTGTGTGCGCGCGTGTGCGTGCCTGAGTGTGTCATTAACATTTCTAATCATCAACTCTCCTCAATTGTTTGTTCCACCACTTTTTGGATTTCCATCCCGCTTAAAATCCGTTATGCACCATCCTTATCCACATTTAAAACCCTCTTGGTCCAATTCCTCTTCACAATCCCATCAGACGCTGTCTAATTATTTATTATGTAACAAGGTTATATTTATATAATTTTGTATACTTACACCATTATTTTTTTTTTTTTATGAAGTGTAAAAGATTTCGTATCACTTTTGACATAGCAATATAATGAAGAAAAAAGAGAAGAAATTGTTTATTTTATCTTTTTTTTTTTTATTTACAAGATTTTTTTATGTATTTGAGATGTATCTCATTTGTTACATTATATATATATATATATATATATATATATGTGCATAACGATTTATTACAGATTTTATATTAGAGTATCTCATGTACATATATATATATATGTAGTATGTATGTATTTTTTTTTTGTTTTATTTGGGTTTTTCTACAACTTGAGGAGTCATATCCCCGGCACCCAAAAGCCACTGCTCCCTGTCCATCCAATCTCCTTCACGGAGCCCTCTGGCTGCCGTGCATTACTCCGCGTCCTCTATCCATTTCTTCTTTGGCCTTCTACGCTTCCTTCTTTCAAGTGGCATATAGTTATAATTTTTTTTTGGCCAGCAGTTCTCATCCATCCGCATTAAGTGGCCATACCACTTTAACCTTTTGGTCCTGATCAGGTGAAGGATGTTCTTTTGACATCTGACCTTCTCTATAATTGCTGCGTTTGGGATCCGCTTGATTCTAGATATGCCACAGCTTCTTCTCCAGAAATCCATTTCCATGGAAAGAAACGTATTTTCCGCCTTTTTTATAATTGTCCTAACTTCTGATCCGTAGGTGGCTACTTTTTCTACAAAGGAATGGTAGATCTTCTTTTTAGTTTCCAATCTTATTTTTTTACTTCATAGGATTGAATTTACCGAACTTATTATTCTTTTTCCATTGTTTATTTTATGCTCGATGTCAACCTCACTACTTCCCTTTGAAGAAAGCCAGTATCCGAGGTACTTGAACTGTTGGCTGACATATGTATAAATGTATATTTGTTCCCCTCTCAATTGTTTTTGTATATAGTTTACAATAATATTCAATTGTTTACAATACTATTGCGAGTATTCATTCAAAGCTCTTAAGTTACAGATATAAATAATTTATTGTATTTAACTTAGTTTTTTTCTATTTGTCCCTACAATGGTTTTCTCATAAAATTAATTTGAAAATTCCAATTTTATTTATTTACTTATTGTTATTTTATTTTTCTTATGCAGAGATATTGTAATATTGTGATCCTATAGCTCACCTGCTTTTATTAATGTATATTTAAGCTATGTATAAAAAAAAGGATATACATAACAAATCAGGGATGCCATCCCCCTCAAGGTCGATGGCGCAAGAACCTACTCCCCCCCTCTTCCAAAGATATTTTACTATTCAAGTTTTCTTAAAAATAAAGCAAGCTAAGGTAGAATTAGAAAGAGCATGGATCATATACAATTACACTTGCTGGTCTGTTCCATGTTTTCATCTTGTCCCTTTGTCCGAAAATTCATAACCCTGTCGAAATTTGTATCCTTCAAAAATTCAAAACCCGTCAAAATATGTCCCCCTCAAAAATTTCGCCATAAAACCGCAGTCTGGGTACCCCTGTAACAAACTTCAGTACCATAGTAACCAGTTGGTGCCCTGTTATATTACTGACACACAAGTATTGTAATGTTTACTTCTTAATTTATAGGAGTAGGAACTAAGTTAGAACCAAATTGATTAACCTTTTAAATTGTAGTTGTATGAATACATTTATTAGCTACAAATGTTTTTAAAATTGTGATAAAAACATTATTTTATACGATTTCTTCAATTAGTTGTTATGAGACCTATAAATCAAATAATTTAATGATTTAGGTGCGAAATTGCTTTCTTCCAGCAATTTAGCAGCAACCCAAAAAAAATCAACAGTGTTCTCTTAAAAAGGTTGATGATATACTAATAATAATTTAATAACTAAATATACTTAATTATAAGATTATGATTATTAGAATTAACACCCTTGACTGAAAGAGTTAAGAAAAATTCAGAAGACTGAATCTTCATAAATAGATTGTTACCATCTGTCTTAATTGTTAATTGTTACCAGCTTAATCACATCCCATCGGAAAATTAAATCCCAAACACTACTTAGAAGGATTCCACATATCGAAAATGATAGCGCTATTAATTAATTATATAAATTTAAAATTATAACTTACAATTTGTCCAAATAATCAGGCATGTAGATACATAATGGAACATTCAATGAAAACGTTTGCCATTCATGTATTGTGTTCAGTGTTAACTATCGTTGCCATAGAAGATGGTAATATTTATAAAAATTATCTAACAATGGCAACCCTGTTTTTGAAAACTTCCCTAGAGTTAAGTTACGGTATAGGTTATGTTCAAATGTCAAACTTCGAATTTGACTCTAAGTTTGTCCAATGATTTACAGATGTGTTTGAAAATTATAAATATTGAAAAGTAAACTATTTAGCATCTAAGCAATGACTACTAAATACTCCTTGGTTATCAGTATTTAATGTCCACAAATGTATGCAACTGGTTTGTGGTTTAGGTTCTTTTTCTGCAGTTTCTCAGATGTCTAATAGTATAGTGACATCTTTAAACAATGATAACGTTATAAAAGCTCCAGATTCTATCAAATATGCTGTTACAAAAACAACAACCCAAGTTATACAGAATCCATCACTACTTTTGCTAACTGTAATTTTTAAATAACTGTTTTTGTTTTGTTATTTTATCCATTTGTATACATGATTGAAATATTATTTTGGATAAATAGGTCCAGTACCCCCAAAATGGATTCTCAAAGAATAACAAATCTAGTAGTATTGGTGTGTCATCTATTAACGCCACTCATTCAACTTTTGCTCAGAAGGCAGAAGCACCTTATTCACTGCTACAGTTGAATCAGCCAGTTATGAAAAATGTGCTATATTATGGAGGTAAGTTGTGTTTTTCTTATAAACTATCCATTTTTTATTTCCTTTTGCCTAAGATGTTCTCTTGTTTACACTTCAGCTGATACGCAGCCCATCAATACAAATAAACCAATATCTAACTACAATTCAATGTTACTTCTTAGAAATGATGAAGATCATTGTCAAGAGGACATGTCCATATCCAAAGGCTCATTTTCACAGACTACAGATCCAAATAATTTTGTTGTAACACCTTTTCCAAAATCAGTAGTTTGCACGGTAATGCCCAGAGATGGCAAAGAATGTATAATATCTGAAACTGAGGTATTATTATTTGTCATTTTTTTAATAATTAGTTTTGTATTATTATTTTTCATTCTTGTTTTTCTTTCAGATCCCAGTTCATAAAAGTATAGGCTCAGAAACTGAAACGGAAGTGGTTAAACTTGATGGTTAGTTATATAATTAATATTGTTTTTGGAAAACAGATATTCACAGTCGTGTATTAATTATTCTTTATCATAACGCTTTTGTATCTTGATACCTTTGATGTATTTATTTCCCAATGAAATATGCATCTGAATACAATTACTGTTGATATTATTAAATAACCTTTATCATTTTGAAAATTTTTTTTTTCCGTCATTACTCCCAGAGGGTCGTTGGTGTGTGACAATAATTTGGATTATATTTTGATACATCATTTTCAAGAATTTAAACATAATAGAGATTTACCCTTCTTTATCTTGCATAATTTCTTTTAATGATTTTGATAGACCTGATTTTTAATACATATATATTTTTTTAATCTTGGCTCTTTTACAGCAAGTATTTTATCTGAAATGTTTTTAACATTTTATTACTTCAAGGCTTTGTAACAGAATAAAATTACAGTTTCCTTAGGATTGGACCCAGTAATTTTATTTTATTAAATTCTTTAGACATTTTAGTATTTCAAGACCTTGTAACAATAAAATTACTGGGTCCTATCCTAAGTTGGCATAATATAACTTCTTTCTGGAGCTTGTGGTCCCTTAGTACAATTGAGAGTAATTACTCATGAGAGCTCCGCTGGATTAGGCCTGGATCACTTCGGTTACACTTGTTCGTAAAATGATGAGAACAGCCAAATATTGCCGTTTGTTATGACGTCAGCCCTTTTCCCAACCCACCCATTTCCCTATCAAGCATTTTTGAATAACCTGCATATTTCCACCACAACTTCCTGTTTTCTATTTCCTAATTACCAATTTATTAACACATTATTTATTAAATACTTCTTAATTCTTTTTGTTGCATTACTAAGTTGTTCCAGTAGTGGGTTCAAGATTTAATTTTTTTTTTTAAAGGTGGTTACTTTGGAAGAAAAAGAAAGAAATTATATATAATGATGTTTCAGTGGTCCTTGTAGATCAGTTTAAAAAAAAAAAAAAAACTTTTAGGGATACAATATTTTATTAACAAGTGTTCATTTAGTTACAATATATACATTATAATTTTAAAAGAGAACATAATGTAATCATTTAAGTATTTAACTTATATCATCCACTGGAACAAATATGGATTTTTAGATCTGCTATCAGTTTATTAGAGCATAGATTCACATTTAACTTAATCAATATTTTATGAGTTACTTGTTTAAAAGAATTAGCCTTTGTATCCATGACCATACAAATAAGGAACCAGAGAATGATAGGGAAATACCTTCAATTTAGGAACATATTTTAGTGATAAATATTCCCTCAAATGTAAAAATGGAACTCCTGACTCGGCATAGATACTTTCAACTAGAGAAGTCCAGAAAGCTGAAGTCCTAATTCTAAGTGCTGAATTATAAACAAAATCTAACAATCTTTCTGGGTGTTCCAAATATTTGAGCTCTTTAATCGATTTCACCTCTTATTATGGATTAATATATTTTTAAACATTTGTTCCTGAGGGCACCTCAACTATAACGGGAAATTCCCTTCAGAATGCTTAGTCTTTTTGTAAAATAATCACTCAAATATTTAATATTCTTTCCAACTCGCCCTTAGAACCTTGCAATAGCATTTTTCAGTTTTTGTGACTTACAAATAAACTTCAAATAAAATTATTAACTTATAAATAGAAAATTCCAATGAAGAACACCTTATGAATTGCATTAACCTTACAAACTAATTTAACCTCCCATGATGTGTTAAACAGTAAACACATGAATGTAGAGAACGTATTCATAACAATTACATTTATCTGAACGTGGAGATTGAATTTGTTGAAATTAATACTAGACCTTTAGTACGCTATTTCTCAACTTTAGGCCTATTTGAGCAAGCCTATTTTAAATTATAGGAATGTGATAATACATTACCGCATATGTAAGTGAAATTAGTCAATGGAATTTAATGAAATTGATATGGGATCATCCATGTATCAACCTGCACAATCTGAAAATTTCATCAAAATTAGAACAACTGTCAGGAACTAGTTCTGGGAGGATTCATTAAAAAACTTATTACGAATTTATTTTAAAAACTTATATCTCTTGAAACACATTTTTCATTTTCAGATTGGGAGGAATGTTCAAGTGGAGAGGAAGAAGCTGTACAAATAATATGTGATAAGCCAGTAATTTGTAGAGCTGTTGCTTCTCTTCCTGCTAAATTCCTTTACTTTGGAAAAGAAACTGGATCAAGTACATTATCATGAGTTGTTTAAAATTAAATTATTTATTACAATATTAACTTTTATAGTTTTAAATTATAAAATTATGTTTTAAAGTAAAATGTAAACTATTTTGCTTGTTTGCTGCATATAAGCATCACTGACATATTAATTATGATTTTGGGTAAAGAGGTTGAAAATTGTATCTCTTTTTTTTTTTTTAAAGGTATATGTTTGATTCTCAGTTATATTTTACAGGCAAAGGTGTTTTTGCAAAAAAAGAAATACCAAAAAGAGCCCAGTTTGGGCCAATGGAAGGTATACTTCAGAGGACACCTAGTGTTACTAAACACCATCTTGTGCTGACTATAGAAAATAATGGTGAAGTTGAGTGGCTTGATGTTTCGAATGAAAGTAAGAAAAATTGAATAAAACCTTCTCATTAATATTTCAAGTTTGAAATTTTTTGATTAAGATAGGTGTAAATAGTTATTATTTACTAATTTCATTCTTCTAATTTTGTTTTATTAGACATATCTAATTGGATGAAGTATGTAAGACAGGCTGAATCAGCTGATGAACAAAATCTAAGTTTGCATCAGATAGGGAAAAATTTGTACTTCCGGGCTTTGAATAGAATAGGGCCTCATGAAGAATTAAAAGTATGGTATAGCATGGCTTATGCTAAGCCAAGAAATCTTCCATTGTTAAGTTTTGCCAAGAATAGAAAAGCCAAAAAAGGAAGTAGATGTAACACACATTTATCAGAGAAAGAAAACGTTTCTGTCTCTTCTATTAAAGCTTTGAAAGATGGAGAAGTGAGGTAAACTATTAAATATAGCTAGCTAGCTCTACATTGATATTTAGAAAAGTTTTGTCTGTTGTGAGCTTTCATTTAACCAGTAATATTATTATATTTAATACATTTTTTTAGCTACTGTTTTTATGGTACATCTTATTTTGATTTTTTATACCACTATTCTCTGAACTCTTCTCAAAACGGTCTACCAAATTAGTGTTTATTAAAAGTTCCAAAGTTTGTAATTTTTTAAAAATTTTCTCCCCCTGGTTTTGATATTTCTAAGTTATAACTGGAGGTCATTGCACAAATATTAAAAATTTATATAGTGACTTGCAAAAAAAAACTTATATTGAAAAAAGTCAGTAAGTAAATGTTTAATGGAGCTTAACTTATAAGTAAGTTTTTCTGAATTTCAATCCCACTAAATAAAAATCCTGTCTCAGGTAAAAATATAAAGTTAGAATTTGATTTATTTCAGTAAATGGAAATGTTCCCATTGTAACAAAGTATTCAGAAGTGCAACGCCATTTAATCTGCATGTTTTGACTCATGCAGCTGACAATTTAGAAACAAAAGAAAATCACAATACTAATAATCAGACACCAACACCTGCCTTACTGGTAAATGAATATTCTATACCTGTATTACTTGTACTACATTACTTTGTGTGTGTACATACATATGTGCGCATGACCAGTCAGATGTATATTTTTTATTTCTGATTTTTAGGACTCAGTTACTGACTGTGATAAAAGAAACAAAAATCCATTGTCGTGCTGTAAGTGCAAAAAAACGTTTTTAAGTAATTCTGCCTTAGCTTGCCATGTTAAAAGTCATGCAAGTAAGCTACAAAGTGATATTATTTTATTTAATGAGATTTATTGTGTTTTTCACTTACTAATATAATATTCCATTTTAGGCATTCATACTTATGACTGCCCTATATGTAAAGAAATATTTTATAAGGTATTGCATTTAAAGCAACATATAAAAAGTCATGCTGTTGATGGAAATTTCTCTTGTCCTTTCTGCTCTAAGGTATTTAATGTTTTGATCTATTCCTGTTAAGTTGTCAAATACTTTTTTCTCTGTTAATATTCAATCTATTTCTAGAAATATCATGAATATCGTCATATAAGGAATCACATAAGAAGGTTTCATTGTGAAAAAAATTTCAGTTGTTTGCAATGCTCCAAACGTTTTTCTACATTAGATAAACTCAAACTACACATGTTAAGGTAAGAATTTTATGAGAGATATAGGGTTTGTTCCAATGAGCAGTCCTGGACTGGGAACAGACTCATTGTAGTAATTGTAATATTTCATTTCTTAAAGTTTTTTTTTTTATTTTTTTATATCCTATATTTTATTAAATACTTTATCAAAGCTAAACCAATGATTTAGCCACGATTTTTAAGATTATCGTAATTTTACTGTTATTTATGAAAAATAAAAATTAATGTTTCTTTATCTCACATCACAAACCTTGAAGAATGGTGTCAAAACTGGAGAGTTAAAATAAATCCCATCAAATTACTTTTACTCTTCGTCGTAAACCTATGACTTCCTGTCCTCCAGTATCCTTTAATAATACCCCACTTATCCCTGTTGAACAAATCCGATACCTAGGACTCCCCTACAGATTAACGAAATCAGTACAGGTTTTAACAGATCTCAGGCCATATTTCCATGTCAAACTTGCTAGTGGCCTTATTTAGCCAATGCTTTTGTCAGGATAGTGAACTGAAAGATGGTCCCACAAGATTGAGCAGTGGCTCATTGAGGAAACCAATACTCAGTGTGAGTTGTACTGCCAAGTAGGTTGTTTGTGACCGGATTGTTATTTCAACATTAACAATTTATGATAGCTCAAATGACAAATTGTTTTTCACTGTTCTGTTAAACTTTAATTATTGTGTGATGAGAATCGAACTTAATCTGATTTTATTCTGAGTTTATCAATGTTCTTCAAACACACATGGCACCATGGATTTGTTAGAAAAAAATATTTTCTTTTTTGATAATAATAAAACAACTAAGAACTATACCTTCAATTGTTTAATTTTTCATCACTTTTACGTTTAAATTTTTATTTATATTTTGTTGCAATTTAGTTTCGCGTTTAATGAATACATCTAGTAATAAAGTTTTAATCGATCAGACTTTAATTCAAGTATTTAATTTTTTTTTTTCAATATAGAGGTAATTATTTTAAATTTTCAGTCATTCTGATCATCGAGAATTCACTTGTGCAACCTGTGGAAAACAGTTTAAAAGGAAAGATAAATTAAGTGTTCACATGAGGAGGATTCACCTCTCTCTTAAATCGAAAGCTGAAAGTACTGAAACATCTGTTAATGATAAAACTTTATCACCCCAAAAAGGGGTAAGTTTTTAAAAATATATTTTTTAAATTGCTCCTTGTTTCATGGAGAACAATTATTCTGTTTAAAATAGTTTGATTTAAATTTCATACTGTTAATGATTGAAAATCATAAGACAAAAAAAGTTAAATTCTATAAAACATTCAATCTCTCCTCAATCAAGAAGAAAGAGAATGATGGAGATGATATTTTAATATACTTTTTTAATATATTATTAAGTAAGATGTGAACTAATACATTTTTCAGTTATTGTTTACCATCCATATGTATTAATATGTGTTTAAAAAACAATAATGCATTAAATCATGTGGGTTTTGTTTTAGATGAATGCTACTGATTATTCTGATTACATATACAAATGTCATATCTGTATGCTTGGCTTTAAAAGGAGAGGGATGTTGGTTAACCACCTAGCTAATCGACATCCTGAAGTAACTCCTGATTCAGTACCTGAATTGAATTTACCTATTCTGAAAGCTAATCGGGATTATTATTGTCAATATTGTGATAAGGTAAAAATTATTTATTTCATCTTTTTAATATTAGTTCAAATATAAGCCTTTACCATAGGATTGGGCGCTCACTAACATTTTGTTTTCAATCGATTGGCCAATAAATAAATGGGAAGTATAACTGCTGTGGTTATAATAGATATTCTTAGTTCATTATGTTTATGCCGAGTGTATGTTATTCACTGTAAACTAGACTATACCAATTACGAAATCCACACCTTGAAAGAGAGAGCTCACCTAATCACCTAAAGTTATTATGTTACTGTGTTTTTTGTCCAGATCTCTATTGAAGGAATTGATCCATATTTACTAAATGTCCTAATCCTAATATTTAAGTTTTCACAAAAATAATTCAAGTAATTAACAGGTTTATTTATCATTTTTTATTTATTTTTCTAGAAATATTAATTTACATTGAGCTACTATCTTAAATCGGTATCGACGTACAATTAGTAATGAAAAGCAGAATGTGGATTTTGGATGCAATATTGAAATAATTGAAAATTTAAGGAAGGAAAACCTTCTTCCATAATGTTACAACATTTGCAAGAAATACCAGCAAATGAACATCCTCTTGTTGCAAGACATAGATGACATAAGTACCTATTCAAAATAATAGTTAATTAGTGTAAATAAACATTTCTAAAAAAAAGATAAATGAACATGCTTATTGCTTGAATTTTTTCATTAAAATGCAAAGTATTAGAATTAGGAATATTTAGTTGGTCACTAACAATTCGTATAACAGATATCTGGGTAAAAAAGATAGTTTTATAATCACGTTAAATGATATATATTTGAAAAATTGTGTTATTAATAATATTTTTTTATTAATAAAAAGTGAATTTATGCAATTATGTTTATTATAATTCATCCCAGGTAATGGGAAAAAAAAATAATTTAATTTTTGGTGAAAACATGGGTACTTTTAGGTGACAAGACATCAAATCTCCTCATTTCTCTACACAACTTGAGGTGAATCTTAGCTTATTTTTTAATAAACCCTTAACTTAATTAATATGGACTCAAAGCTTATTAAACAAGGAAGTTTTCCTAAAAGTTGGGTATCTGTAGTGTAGTTGGAGGGTGATAAAAAAAAGTCGCAAATAATTCATGATATATTTAAAAACAGAGTTAGTGTAGATTAGCTGCTCAAAATTTCTCCTTGAATGATTTTACCAATGATAAACTCCAATTTCATGTAAAGTAAAAATTTTCTTTAGTTACTGCTTACTATTCAACAAAAAACATAATTTACCAAAAAAAAAATTTTTAATTTCCACACTTCAGCTGGAAATTGGCCCATTTAGTATATGAACTTTTTTGAAGATCTTGATATCTACTCTCACCCTTTTAAATATTTCACTCTTCTTACGGGTCACCCTGCATAGAATTATGAATTTTGTTTATTAATGAATGAAGACCTGCAAAGTGGGTCGAAACGTTGGCGTAACTAATAAAATACTATTATAGTTTATAGTATTTATTTGACCCCACCCCCTGACCAACTCCTCCATATGAATTTTGTTATTTCTTGAAGTTTATCAATAAACATAAATGATTATAATTTATTCTCTGAGTATTTTTTTTTCTACATTTCTCATGTTAGTTTTACGAAACTAAAGTGAGTTTACTAAACTAACAACTTTTCTATATCGGACCCTCATTTGTAATCATTAATTATCATAATTCATAATCAGGATAATGAAAAAAAAAAAGTATTTCGAAAGGTAAACACATTTTACAATGATAGCACGTTTTATTATGGAACTAAAAAAGGTGCCTCCAATGCCAGGTAATGTAATGATGCTTGTATCCTTCATGAGTTATCTAGTCCTCTTAACTTACCAAGATTGCTAAGAACTTAGAAGGTTGTCTTAATCATTGTCAAAACTCATTTTATTTGTTATGAGAAGAACATCACAAAATAAATATTAGTTTTGTTTAATATAAATAATGAACTTAAGTATATTTTTTAAATCTTCTACCTATTGTAAATTTTCATGAACAATTATCTGAGCTCGTTCTAATGCTTAAGAACTCCAAAGAGTATCATTTTATAACATTCAAACTCATTAGGAAATTACTTTTAGAACAATACTGAATAATTTGTTCAATTAATCTCCAAGCTTATTTATTTGTTATTTTAAAATATGGCTCAGTAAATTGTGTTAAATAATTTAATCTCATCTATCTAACTTCTATTCTGTTATTCTTCACTATATACAGTGATATTATGGACTATGTTTTGTTCATTGTCATTGCTGTATAGGGAATGAAAAAATAAAGAAGTTGGGTGGATGATAAAATTCCTTAACACAGTGTCTTTAGTCATTATAAACACCCATAGATAACTAAAAATAAAAATAAAATATGGTATTCTATTAATGTTCATTTGTATAATTTTTCTATTACTGAAACTATGTTGTTATTATTTATTATATTAAGTGAGTGTAAAATCTTGTTATCATGCGGATTATACTCAAGTGCTTTTTTTCTAGATTTATAAAAGCAGTTCAAAAAGAAAAGCACACATTTTGAAGAATCATCCTGGAAAGAAATTACCCCCTGGCAATGCTCAAATCGTAAGTTGAGAAAACATTTTTTTATTCTTTCCAATCTTTATTTTTGTAATTCCAAAATTTGTATATTTTTATTTTATCATGTAATTGAAAATGAAATTTGGGCTTTCTTGGAAGTGTAAAAAATAGAATTTTAACGTTTCACCAGTTTGTGGTTTAAATAATCATTTATAATATTTGTTGCTAAACTTAACTTCAGGATTCAAGTGGTTGGTAGATTCTGTTATTCATGAAAGCATTAATTTGACATTGCTAATATTTTTTACTTAATGATGACATGAAGTTCTTTCTTCTAATATTTACTATTTACATTTAGAGGGTATAGAGAGAAAATATGAGATATCATTTATTTTTATTTTGTTAAATTAGAATTATATGGTCTAGCTTTATTTTAAAAATAGTACATTTTTAAGGAGTATAACATTCCCACTACACTTAATATCAACTTAGCACATGATAAAGAGATCCTTATAAAATTGTTGCTCTTTTTATTGAAAACATTAAATGAGAAACATTTACAATGCTTTTATTCCTTTACCTGTATTTACTTATTTGTGGCCTTCATGTATTGGTGAAACTAAAATACATCTGAACATTCTTACATTCAAATACAAATACATCCTATCATCATCTGTGAGCACATCATGTCCTTTAGCTATGAATTTAATTTTGACAATATTTCAATTTTTTATTGCAGTCAACTTCTAAGAAAGGTGTAGAAAATGGGACATTATCTCAAACCGTTGGCAGTGTCACAACTCATCCACAGGTACTTTTTTTGTACATAAATTTAGGAGTTCAACAATATCATGATTATTCACTCACTTCATTTATCCCTTTTTTTTTTACTTTCCTACCTATACTAGGTAAGGAAAGTATTGGGATCAGGTGAAATTTCCGATATGTGGTTTTTTGACGGGTCTATACGTATCAGAGCACCCTGAGTCCTAAAAACACATTTTTAGCCATTGGTCTGTCTGTGCCAAGATTTTCTCGGGAACTAGTGAACAGATTTTGTAGCTTCTTTTTTATTTTGTAGGGTTTTGACTACTGATGCCTGTGTCACAAATTGGGTGCTCCCTGCGCAATAAATGAAAAACATGCTTTTCTATAGATTGCAGCGTGAAAACAGCTCTAATGATTTTGATGGAACTTTCCTGAAATGCTCTAACAATTGTCCTTTCAATGTTCGTACATGGACTAAATTCCTGAGAAAATTTAGGAAAAAAAATTATAAAGAAAAGAAAAATGTTTTGAGACCTAACTCGCTAAGTATATATTGTATGATAAAATTTATAATGAAACTTTTGAAAGGTAATTAAATTACCAACAAAACAAAAAAAAATCATCAGAATCGAACCAATATTAACGATGATCCAGCTTATTCTATTTTCTACTCATGTTTTAATTTATTACTTTCTTACCTATCTAGGTAAGAAAAGTATTGCGATTGGGTCAAATTTCCGATGTGTCAAATCATTCATTTCGGACAACTATTAACGAAGTTACAGCATTTCAATTTCCAATGTAAGATTATGGGTCTATATCCTCATATCCTAATACCTGAAGGAAATAGGAATTATTCCTCTAAACAGCCTTGAAATCCTCTCTAATTTGAACTGTAGAGATAACTTACAATTTTCAATTAATTTTTTGTTACATTTGATCTTGATAAAATAACTTGTCTTATTTCTTTGCTTTACTATATCATTTATATCTACTTGTCAGTAAAGAAGCTTGAATGCTATTGATATCTTTTTATACTTTAATAAATTATATTTCATCTAGCAAGGCTATTAGGCCCTAATTGTATACATATTAAATAGTCAATGTGTACAATCTGACTAATTAGCTGAGTTCAATAATTAATTTTTCCAAAAACAATTATGTCAACATAGTGCAGTTTACCTCTAAGGTCCATTAATGCATTTATCCTTAGTGAGCATTTAAAACTGATGTAATTTACTAGTTAGGTTAAATTACTTTTCTTGTCTTGATTATTTAATCATAACTCGAATGCTTAATGGTTTGTCCATTTAAAACTATGTTATAAGCTTAGTTATATTTATTTAAATTTTATATTTAATGATTATGATTGTTCATTATTTTACCATTATCTTTGTTTAAGCATCTCTTAACAAATGTTTACTTTTTTGTTTAGAGTTGTGACTGGTGCCACAAACAATATGCTTCAAAAGCTAAACTTCTTCAGCATCAAAGAAAAAATCACCTCAATCAACTTCCTAAGTCTCTACAGGTAAGATAATAATTGTGAAACAAATACCATTTAATTTATTTGTTGTACATTTGTCAATTACTGTACTGGATATACAGTCTTTTCTATCTCTATTGGCTTAAAATACCAATAGTATGGTTATATAAGGATTGGGATCTATAAATGCAACAAAAATTAGGCTATTAACAATAGAGAGGAAATCTGCCGAAAGATTAATACAATTTTTTGAGAATAAAATCTAGGGGAAGAACAGTTTTTGGAACAATGTAAAAAAGAAAAACAGATTTGAACATGTTTCAGCTAAAGTAGTGGATGTAATTTTATAAAATTGTTTGTACACTTTCCTCAACTCTGCCAACATTGAGCTAATAAGATGAGCTGTTTTCAAAATATGAGCATGCTAAAGAAAATTTTTCTCTACGCATAAGCGAAAGTAGCACACATAATTTTATATAGGATTAGTTTTACACTAGTACCCAAATTTCCTCTGACTTTAGGCCAAATTGGACGTAAAATATGTTTACACTTACTTCGAAGAAAATGTATGGACTTTAATAAAATCCAATCTCTGGAAATTTGATAAAAATTGGATTAACAACAGTAGATGCTGTGAACATGACATTGATTTAATTAAGAACGCATGGCACAATATTTGTTTCTTGATATTATAATAGTGAGTAGAAATTTTTGATTCAGACTTCAAATTTTTTTTCCATTTCTACATGAATACAAAGCTTCCCTACCTTCTTTAGTGATGATGTAAAACAATCAGTGATCTTTATCGATCTAATAAATCGATCATTGATTTATTTTAAGCAAGATAGTGCCATTTTTTCTCAGTGATACTACTAATTGAGCCTAGTTCTAGTAGATATTTACAATAGGTATTTACTTTTAATACTTCTTATATCCTAACAATTTTTATTATCTACTTCCTTTTCCTTTCACTGAACAACAAACCCCATACCTTTTAACCAATATCCCTCACCATTTTCTTTGATTTTTCTCCATCCAGAGCACTAAGGAAATGGGTTGTTTTATGTTGTGTCTAAATAGTAGATTTCAACACATGTGACAATTTAGCTTTTATTTAGAGACATTTCATTCGATTCCATAGGGCCTTTGTACAAAAAAAAAAAAAAAAAAATTGGCTAAAGTGGTTTTAATATTTTTTTTTTTTTGTTTTACACTACCTTAGGAGTGGGGTAGCTCAGTAGTAGGGTACTGAGCTTCCAATGCTAAAGGTCCGAGGTTTGAATCCCGGCTCATGGCAGAAAATTTATTTATCTGTTTCATTGGCCGTGGAGCGACTCTGGGTCGGGAGATCCTCCTGTGGCACACCCAGCCTCTATAAAGTGGGTACCCTTAATTAAATAATTAGTTAAGGGGGAAAACCTGGCGGTTGAACATGATCTCGGTCAAATCACTTCCTTGCACAACCCTAGACCTGGAAACAGTGCTTTCCCTAAATAGTACTGATTCCAAGACCCTTCGTGGGTTGTAGTGGTACAGGTTTACACTACCCAAAAAAAATATCAAATTGTTGAAAAATTACTATTTTTATAAATATTTTTTTAAGTATCCCAAGAAATCGGCCAGAACCAGTGCAGAGGAAGACTCAGATGCAATCAGAGATGCTATTGAAAAAGTCATAGAGACGGACATATTTTTACCAGAAACTCTTGATATTTCAGGTAGTCTACTGATTAATTAAAAAATAAAGCAAACTTTTTGTGTCACTATCCCATTTTGATAACTCATTTTTGTTTTTGTTTAGAATATGAAGCGTCTACTGGAGATAATAAATTCTTTTCTGGTGGTGAATTTATTATAGATGCAAGTACTCTTAAACGTGCCATTAAGGTTCTGTATTGTTTTTTCTATCTGTGTCCTTATGGCCTGATTTAATTATAAATATTCTTTTTCTTTGTAATAATTATTTTTTTGTGAATGTAGATTTTTCAATTGTAAATAAGGAAATGATGTTTTAGGGAGAAGTCCTATCTGCAGATTGTTCTCCTGAAACACTATCTGAACTTGGTCAGATAATTGATGCCAGACCTGATGGTTACTTCAAAGTATACCAGGCTCCTTCCGGGATTACTCTTGCTCATCCTGTAGAAGTTTGGGATCCTTTTCAACTTTGCCTCAGTCCTGAGACAACACCAGTACTTTCATCTTCTTAATATTTCATGTTGAGCCTTGGAAATTTTTTAATTTTTTTTTATTATTATAGATAAGATTAATTTTAAAAGTACAGAGAAGTACTTTAATTTAAAATGTGATAAATATTGTTGCTCTAATAATTTTGCAGGTCATTTCTAATAAATATGAATAATGATTCTATTTGTTTTTATTAGATCTATATTTACTCATTATTACTGTTCTAGAATGCGAATTTATGTTTATTTTCACCTAATCTATAGACTTCACCTGCAAGCTGCAGTAATTTTTTTTTACGTACTATATCTGTCTATATAACTCTACATATATTGTAAATACATGTACGTACACCATTTAAGCAAACAATCGTTTATTTACTCTGCATAGATAATTTTTGTTTTTGTTTGTATGATGGGAAAGATTCAAGAAGTATATCTTGTCATTAATAATTTATCCGAGCAATAGTATCACTGTCTTATTAACTAATTATTGTAAATAATTAAGTATTTTGTATATTATTTGTACAGTTATTACATTAAATTAGACCTGAGACAAATAAATATACATTTTTAATTATTAAAAGCAATATAAATTCATTCATAAACACCCTTACCCAATAAAAGGAAATAGTACTATTAGTGTTTGTTGATAGGCAGCAACCTGTTTTTTAGAATTAGTTAAAACTTTTTTGTCAATGTTTATTTAATCAAACAGTTTATAATTAAATAAGCCATTCTTGTAGCCGTCACTGTTGAAAACAAATTATAGAACTTGTCACATATCCACACATGCTGTAGCAATCTTTTGACAGCATTGAATATATGTGTAAAATTTTGAAAAAAACTCAAGTGATCTGAATGTTTCATAAAATATATGAATCTAATGAAATATTTATTGATATACAATTGATGATATTCTGAGAAAAAAAGATTATTTCAAACCAAATTTATTTATTTTTTAATGAATTTACTAAAGTACATTCATAAAATATTTAATAATGAAGAATTATTTTATATCCATCACATGAACTTAAGGAAATAGATCAAATAAATTACTGCTAAGATTATAAAGGTTCATAAGAGATCAAAATGTCATTTCTAAATACATTAATCTTAAAAAATGACTAGTAAACTAAATCATAAAGTAGGTGAATTAATAATATTTAATGTATGATCCCTAAGACCTAAAACAGAATATATATAATCGAAACCTATAGCAACATAAAATATAATCATGTTCATTTTATAGTTCAACTTTTCAGTAGTGGTGTCCCATATTTCAGATTATATATATTAGGTTTTGGTACTTGTGGCCATTTGAAACATATCTTAAGATTAGAATGGTTATGAGAAATTATGGTAAAAAAAATTATATTAAATATATTAATTGAGTTATTATTTATTGAATGTACATGATAAACTAAACAAATTGTTGGTTATTAAATTTTACCAAACAAGGTAAAGAAGTTAATCAAGAGGACATTGAGAAACTCGCTAAGACTGACAGGAGAAGCAGAGCAGATCGGCCTACAAATAAATCAAGAGAAAACAAAATATATGATAATAAGCCGAAAATTCTACCCCAATAACAGGATGCCATAAAAGGAAAATCATTTCTGAGAAAAAAATTCAAATACTTCGGCTCCACATTAACCTCAATGAATGACCAACAGTCAGAAATAGACCAGCGTATAACTAGTGCAAACAGAGCTTTCTTCTCCCTTTCAAAGGTATTGAAATCCCGAAAAATTTAAAGAAATCTCAAATTAAAGGTGTACAATGTAATGATAAAACCAGTTCTATTATATAGCTGTGAGACCCAGATACTAACCAGCAGAAAAAAGTATTGAAAGATTTAAGAGAAAAATCTTCAGCAAAATAACAGGAGATAATCTATCTCGATAAATAATCTATCTGGGATCAGAGTAGTAACAAAGAACTGCTTACAGAAACTGGTCAATAAATATCCCATGATACGAAGGCACGGAAGTTAAGATGGACAGAGCATGTAGCTCGTAGCAATCCATCAGAACGCCTTTACACAACAATGAATGCCAGAGTAGTAGGCAAGAGACCACGTGAGAGGCCAAAAACCAGATGGATAGATAGAATAAGCCAAGATGCAATAGAGCGGCATGCAGATAACTGGAAAGAAATAGCCCAAGACAGGCAGAGATGAAGCAGGCTTGTTGAGGCGGCAAAAGATTTACATGGTCTGTAATACCAACAGAAAAAAGTCAAGAAGTCCACAGGCAAAATGGATGATGTGATGGAATCTCCATTAGTCATGTTACTAACTATTATGACTGTGGAAAAGCTATTGAGCAGGCTAAAAGGACCACTTCACATATCTTTTCATATTTAAAAAAACGAACATTATAACAGGAAATTAAATATTTTGAAAGAGAGCGGTAGGGCACTAAGCTTCCAATGGCCAAGCCCCAGGTTCGAATCCCGACTCATGGCAGAAAATTTATTTATTGTTTCATTGGCCGTGAGGAGTCCCTCCTGGGGCACACCCAGCCTCTACAAAGTGGGTATCCTTAATTAAATAATTGATTAAGGAGGAAAACCTGGCAGTTCAGCATGATCCTGGCCCGATTCTCTCCCTGCACAACGGTTGGTCTTGCAACAGTACTGAACCCAAGATCCTTCTTGGGTTGTAGTGGTACAGGTTAAAGGTTTTAAATATTTTGGAAAAATTGAATCAAATTTAGAGAAGTGATCCTCTTAGGCTTTGATAAATCCTTATGCATATTACAAAATTCACTAGAGGTATAATCATTGTAATGTACTTTATTTCTACTGAAGGGCCCTATGAAATAATTCACTAAAAATAATTTTCAATTCATAATTTACTTCATTCTTTTTTTTTTTATATACAACCTCTACAAATAACTTGTAATATTCTCGCAACAATAATAACAATTATGAAATAAATTATTTAAAATATGAAACATGTAAACATAACCTGTGTTCTTATTTTATGGAATTCCGAGTATCACATACAAATAACAAAATGAAATTATTTACAACTATATAATAAAATAAATAAAAATATGGACATTATCTAATTAATACTATCCTGTAGTCCATACAAAAGGTTCGAGTCTTTCATCAGGAGGCAATAGATTATTCAGTTTTTCAACAGATTCTAAGGTCTTGTTAAGAACAAAATGACATTTAGCAATTTGTGCCGTAAGCTCACTAACTTTCGATAAGGTTTCAGCATGTTTAGAATATCTTTTTTGCCTTTCAACATTTGCTGCTAATGTCTGAGCAATTTCTGAATTAATCTGTAAAAGTTCAAGATATACATGTAATTCAGTAATCATAATATAAGAAAATAACAATTGAGAGAAAATAATGTTATAATAACTTAAAATATAAAAATACCTCTTTCAGTCTTAATCCCAGTCTATCTTGCTCATTGGCTATAGAAAGAGCAGATTCAGTCATATGTCTCTGACACCTAAGACACAATCGATGCAAGGCACGAGGATCAAACCGTTCCAAGATTTCAGGATCTCTAGCTGCTGGTACATTAAGGGTACTCCTCATTATCGGCAGAAACATTGGTATTTTCTAGAAAAGGGACACTAACTAATTAAAAACAAGACGATTGCATGTAATATAAATAATCATTAATTATAAACTCAAAATATTTGGATTATAATGATTTGTTAAAACGTATAACACACTAAAAATCTAAATGACATTTGGCAAAGCAAATAAAACTCTTTGAAACAGGAATAAGAAGAAGATTCATAACATAATTTAATAAATGGATACAAGATTGAAGATATCAGACCGAATTTATGCCTACACTCAAGATCTATGAGGTAATATCAGTGGATTCACATGGACGATAAAAAAAAAAAAAATTAGTTCTTAGAAGAACTTAGTTCCTACAAATAAATTACACCCCGATTTTCATACAATTAATATAATGAATCACAAAATCAGATCAATCCAGAGTCTTTTTATATTTATATTTTGGTATGGTAAAATAAGAAATAATAGAGAAATATAAAAAAATATTAAATTATCATGAACACCATTAAAAACATAAGAAATGCAAATTTCAGCATGTTTAGAATATCTTTTTTGCCTTTCAACATGTGCTGCTTATGTCTGAGCAATTCTGAATTAATCTATAAAATCAAACCGAGCAATCCAGTCTGAAATAAATCAATTATTTTATTTTGTGAATTATATTTTTCTTTCAACCATTAATTAATAATGATAATCAGATGATCAAAAATGGAATAAGTTTCTATTTTTAAACAAGTGCTCTATGTTTTCCAAATAATTATAATTAAAGCGAGTGGCTAACAAAAAGAAAGCTTGGAAAGAATACAAGGCAAATAAGTCTCAGCAAAATTGGTCTACCTAAGTTCATAAGAGAAATATCTCAAAGCACATTGTTAGAGAGACAAAGAGAAATTCTTGGGAACGATTTGAAAAGGAACTAGACCAGGATTATAGAGACAAAATAAAAACAATATGGAAAAAATTTAAAGGCATTAGAGAAAATAGAGATAAAAGCATTAGAAATGTGAGAAATGAAAATGGAGATATATTAACTGATACCACTGACATATTAGAAAGATGGGAAAGACACTATGGCATGATATTTGCAGAACAAACCGCAACGCTGAAGCTCTGAACAATCAATTTCCAATCTAGATGAACAAGATTTAGATATATTATGAGAAGAAATTTAAGTGGCCATAGAGAGACTCAAGCTTGGAAAAGCCGCAGGAAGGGACATCTCTCCAGAATTCATTAAGGAAGCCGGAAGGGAGATTTTTTTTTTCCTTACCTTTTAGGCTATATGGGGTTTTCCTGGGCCAGGAGGTGTGGACAGGGAATTAAGTTAAGAGCTAAGAGCCCCTCCCTCCCCTGGGCACCGGGATGCTCGTAATTATTTTAATCAAATTTATCTTTATTGCGGGCAACGTGCAGTGCAGTGCATTAGCCCGCTCAGCCATGCTGCCTCCTGCCAGAAGAGAGATAATAAAGGTGCTCCAGAACCTGTTCCAGATATTGTATGAGGAAAATAAAATTCCTAGAGAATGGGAGTACATCATCATACCCATAGCAGCTTTCTGCCCCAGAAGACAAACCCTTCACCATATCTTCGCTTTAGAAATGATAATCAAGAAAGCCTGGGATAGAAATAAAATCTTATATGTGGCTTTTCTGGATAACAAAGCTACGTTTGAGTCAGTACTAAGAGAAGAAAAATGGAAAGCTCTGAGAGCAAAGAACGTGCCAAATGGTTTGTTGCTTGCAATACAGTCAACATATCAGACATCAAGAGGTATTGTGAGAATTAATGGTATATGCTGACGAAATTATCATCATCGCTGACTCTATGAATAACCTCCAACAAGCCCTAGTAGAGAGTGAAGCAGAACTGGAAATAAAGGGCATGAATATTAATACCAGAAAAAGCAAAATCCTACAAGTAGGATGAGAGCCCGAACAAATACATAAACTGAAATAACGAACTATATGTCCAAGTTGGGACAAGCGAGAGGAAAGATATTGCAGAAGATCACAACTCTTGAGAAAGAGAGTGCTAGTTAGAGATTCTAGGTTGGATTAATCTAACTCAATGTTAAAGGCACAAGGAGAAAGTTAAAGAACAGGAAGAAGTTTCACTAATCTTTATGAAAAATGATGTTGAGTAAGCCACATATGATTAATATCTCTGATATAAGATACAATATTTATAAATTTTGTTTTCTTATATTATTACAGAAAAACAGCTGTTTACCTGAAGTCTGAGTATCTCAGGATCTTTTTCAGTGGACTCTTCTTTAGCAGCAGGTTTAACGACAACAACATTATGCACTCTTGAAAGTGGTGTTTTTCGCAATGTACTTTTTCTACTCGGGGAGATATTAGCTCCAAGTGATTTCCCTCGCAACAAATGACCTTGCTTAGCAGGATGCTTAGGCGAATCTATAAATGAAACACAAACAATGCTTCTAAATATGCACATCAATTGATATTTAATTATGGTCAAAAAGTTGTAATTATAATCTTAAGTCTGGTGATATTTATTAATTAATTTTTTTGAAGAATCATAAAGACACTATAAAAATCATAATTGCAAAATACAGTAATTTTAATTTACAAAAATTAAAAGATAATATATACTTAATACTGGTACAATTTTTTTGTAAATCATAAGATTCACATTAATCCTTTAGATAACTCAAACATATTTTGATACAAGGAGAATTAAATCAAAACAAAAAGTTAATAACAAGTAAGAAAATGATGAGAATTTAAATACATTATATTATCTTGAAGAAACAAAATAATTGATCAATAAAACCTTAAGTACCAACCTACATAATATTTACACTGTTAACAGTTTCTATTTAATTTTATTTATTTTTAAAGTGTTATATGCGTCATGATACTACAGATAGGTTTTTAGTTGTTATGTTTCACCAATTTTCAAACATTTATATAATGTGGAGAATTGAAAGTAATTTATGTCTAAAATAATTATATTCCAATCCTATACTATAGGATACATTTTTAATACAAAACATTAAATTTTATAATACCTTCAGCCTCTGAGTACTCTGAGGTCTTATTACTAATCATTACTAGTTTTTGAAATATTTGAAGAAATCCTTTGACATCAAATAATGTGAATTTCCAAACATAAAGTGAAACTATGGAATATTTATAAATAGAGCAGAAAACATTCATGGGGCTTCCTGAAAATTCTTTTTCCCTCTTTCGAAAACTCGTTTCGTGTTTTAGAAACATTCACTTCAATATCAGGCAGTACAAAGAGAACATATGCCATAAATCAAGAAAGAGGCAATCTATATGTAACTTAAGGAAAACAAAGCAAAATTTAACATGTTTTTTTTTAATAATCACAAAATAATGCTTGTTATGTGTCTATAGGGGTACAAAATATGTATAGAGTGCCAGTGATTACTTTTTCAATTCAATTTTTTTATAAAGATATTTATCCATTTTTATAATAAAACATTTTGGTAAATTCGATTCCCTCTTTATTTACTAACGACTATAATTGAGAAATACTGGCTCCAAGTTAAAAATATGTGGATTATTTTTACCAAAAGCATCATGATCTAAAAAAATATAAGGTGCAATTTTTACTTTCTTTCGGACAAAGACAAACAGAAAACCAAACTTATTTATGAAATCTGTTATGAGCACCCAAAAGCATATCAAATCTTAACTATCTATTAATTATTAAGAAGTCAAGTGGAAACAATAGTTGTAAAAATGGTTTGAGGTCCTGAAGGATTTCCATGGTACTCAGCATTCCATGAGACCCATCTTACTCCTGAGGTTCAGTGGATCTTTGGGCTATAACTTAAGCTCAAAACAGAAGTGTCTATCATAAGTAAGTTTCAATTTGGGGTGAATATACCCTAAAAGCTAGTGGTGTCATACATTGGAATTCAGAAAAAAATAACCGGTGTTGCAGATCCAAAAACCTTTTGTTTCCAGTTCGAGTTATAATCCAAAGGTCCAAGCTATCAAGAGCTTCATTATACTTTCAAATCACTTATAAACAGAAAACGAAAGAAATATAAACAACCAAAATAGACCTTTTAAATACATCAACAATATTAGTCTAAAATGGTATTACAAGAAAATCAATCAACAAAAAACACAAAAATAAATCAGAAAAAGTATTGTAGGAAACAATGTAAACAAAAAACATCTAAACTGGTCTAAGATAAATCAAAATAATTTACAAATTCTTATAATCCCACCATAGTGATGATTTTAAATTTAATAAAGACAAAGCTGAACTAATGTAAGTATAAAAAAATTAAATACAAAAAGCCAATGTAATAACAGGTATTCATTAATTAACATGAATGTACTACCTGAACACGATTGAATTAAACAACCCAATAATTATACATGCAATCTTATAGCCTTATCAAGAAAATAATTCAATAACAATATAATAAAAACCAATGATTCAATTTAAAAACAAACATAAATTTTACAATATAAAAAAGAGTAAGAAGCTAAATTTCTACAGGTATTTAGAAAATAAATAAATCACAACTGCGGGGTGTTCCATTCTAAAAAAATAAATTAAAAATATATGCATGGGTAAATTTTAAAATAAAATTGTATAAAGCATGAAAGTCAAGAATATTTGAGTCATAAATTTCTACTACTTGCAAAAGTATTGATATTGTTTAAAAAAAATATGAATAACTGTCAGTTTAAATTTTTTCACTAGGATGGATGGAATAGTTTTTAATTAGTTAATTTTTCATTTTGGCACCTGTGAAATATATTTGTTTAAATGTCTGACTCTGAATTAACAATTGTAGAAGGGGAAATTGAAGTAAATAAAAAGATAAACAAGCCAAATTTAACAAAAAAAAAAAAATGTGCTATTTAAGTATAATAAAGCACAGAAAACATCATGCGGCAACGAGAAGGAATAAAAGGTGCAGCAGAGCATGATATCACCCAACAATTACCACCAATAGGACGATTAACAGTGTATGATATATAAGGAAGTTCTGAATCCGAACAAACACTCAATCCTGGAGAACAGCTTCCAGGTCTGGAAGTTTCTATTTCTTGCTCTTGCCTATTTTGTTCAGGTACTGATTTTCCTCTTTTTAATTGTCCTATTCTAGAACCCTTACTTTTTTGAGGAGCAGCTTCTGTACTTTGCTCAGAACCCATCCTTAACACAAACTTTCAAAAATTAAATTCAAATAAACTAATTACTAAAATAAAATGCTTCGGAGCCTAGCAATAGATGTAATCTTATTTATTAAACGAAACATTGAAAAAAATAAAAAATTGACAAAACATATGTAATAACTTGAGCCAAAATAACTTGTAGAGCAATATGAACACAAAAACAAAAGAGGAGGTTATGATAACCTTTCGAGTATAGACGTCGAAAGTGATTCAAAACTTGGGAATAATAAACTCTCACCTACCTCTTTGCCTGGTATTGGTGTTCTTATAGTTTTATTTTTTTATTTTTTGCATTAATAACAATCCTCCCATTGTCTAGCTCGGAGTGGTACACAAGTGAATATAATTTCTCACTATTTTAACAAATGGCAATATTTGTTTTGTTTATTATCTCGTTTTGAATTTAGGATAATTCACTTCCATGAAAATCATTACCTTCAGTGCAATACTTAGGGGCCCAGAGAAATAAAGTCTAATACATAATAACGAGAGCACCGTTATAAGTTAATAACAATAAATTGCAGAATGACTGATCTGAGTGAGTCCACTTTAATATTTAATCACTTTAAATTCAGTAGCTGAAATACATGCTTTATAATTTTAACATGATCATATATTTTGATTGTTTAGGTATTTATCTTTGGTCACTCAAAGAAACAAATATATTCCAATAAAAAAAATAAGTTTGGTGAGGATTTCAGTTGGTGTGGTGATCCCTCCACCGTGGTCTTCAATGATCGTAGGCACAGGGTTGGGGATTTCATGGTATCTTTAATAATAATAATACTTTATTTATTCTGGGACGAGTCCCTTTAGAATAATACAGTAAGACAGACATGTGGGCTAAGGAGCCTCAGGGATACATTAATAAAAATACAGAGTAATTAAATAGTCATAGTAATATATATATATGAGTTACTTTCTAATTTTGATCAGTTAATAATAAAAACATGAAGAACGAACTAATAATTTATATACATTTTTAAAGTAGAATCTACTTACAATTTTTTGCGGACTGGATGGATAAGAAATGATTGAACAGGTGGGATTTAAAGGTAGGAAGGCTGTTGGGTTGACGGATGTGGGAAGGGATGGAGTCTCATAGGGTTGAGGATCGGATAATGAACGATCTATCGAAAACAGCGGTTCGGTGGGTCCTTATGTATAAATCAGAAGACCGGGAACGAGTATTGCAGGAACGAACAAAGGATTTGAGTTGAAGGAGCTCGGAGGTGTATGAGGGGCGGTGGGATTGGATAACTTGAAAGAGGTAGGACGCCAGGAAATACTTACGATGGTAGGAAGGATAAAGCCACTTCAACTCTGCATTAAAATGGGAAACAGAGGCGACCTTTGGGATCCCGAAGATGAATCGTACAAAGCAATTTATCAAACGTTTTAGTTTCGCCTCGAGATTCCCAGAGACGTCCCCATATACCGTACACCAATTGTCAAAGTGAGAAAACATTAAGGAAATGACTTTAGGAGCCTACGGACTTCAAAAGGAAATAGGTGACAGGAATAATTTACGCGTTTAGGGTGGAAATGATTCGGCGGGAAATATTGGATATATGGTTTTTCCACGAAGGCGTTTGACCAATGATTATCCCAAGGTTTTTGATGAAGGGGTAAAAATTCGATGGGATTATTATGTAGGAACAGAATTGGAATATTAGGAATAATTTTAAGGAGGTGATTGGAGCCTATTAAGATGGCCTTTGTCTTTTCCGCATTCAACTTCAACTTGTTTGTTCTCGTCCAGTCACAAATCCTATCCAAATCTTCTTGAAGTTTTTCTATGGCTGATAACAGGTCGGAGGGCGGAAATAACAGATATATTTGGAAATCATTTGCATAGATATGGTATTGGGAGTGATGGATCAGGAGGGGAAGGTAATGTAAATAGCAAACAGAGTAGGAGATAGAGAAGAATCTTGAGGGACACCACAGAAGAGGGGGGTCTCAGAGGGAGGTTGACCTGGGTCATGGGTTGGAATTTCAAGAAATCTTTTGAATAATTCATCATTTGAGATTTATTATAAATATAACCTATCTTCTTTAATAACAAACCGCTAATTTATTTTCAGGATCGACATAGCTTTTAATGGTGGGATTATCAAAGGAGGTTAAAACCACGAACGATCCTGCTGTGACAGTAAATGCTTTACTCAACAAAAGCTAATCTTCAAAATATTTAATTAACTTTAATATTTAAGTATGTTTGAATAATTTTAAGTAGTAGAGCTTGGCAGAAGCTTAAATACTAAGCAGGTAAATACCAAAGGAGTCTAGAATAAGATACGTTTTTTATATACTTAACTAATTGGTAGGTATTAGAATCCTGGCGAATTTAATACCGATTCAATGTTTTAATAAATTTAGATACAATTATGTGTTTTTACAATTATTCTTTCTCCTTCCTGTTTTTGTAAAGTAAGTAGCGATCAGTGTTCATCAGAATCCGTTCGTTGTGATTCTTTATACAGACTAAGTATTGTTAATCTATTGTATAATCACGTTTTAGATGACAACGAAGTTCAAATATGACCACTCAGTTCTATCATGGGTGGTGATGATAGTTTTTCTGAATGTCATATTTCCACTTTATGATGTTTCGTCGAAAATGATAAGACTTTTGAGCTATACTCAATATCATCGGAGCGCATATTATGTCTGTTCTATGACTCCTAGAACACGGTTTCGGGGATTTTAATGATGTCTGATATACTAACCATTTTTTCCGCAACATTAGGGCAGACCTCTTCGGATCAAATTATTTGAAATTTATTATGTATGGTTGTTTTTTTAAAGCAAAATTGTAACGGACTTATTGTAAGGGAGGCGAATAAATTGGGTAGGCATTATGGCATGTCCAAATATTTCTTTTCAGTTTTCAAGATTTTGCGAACCTCTTTTGTCAATATTGAGTTAAGGGCCCTTAAATGGTAAATATTATTGAGCCAATATATTTGAAGCAATATAATTGAAGGCAAGAAATATTGAAGGGATGGCTCACAGGGGTCAATTATATCAGTTGTTTGTATAAAGATTTTAAATTAAAACAATTATATAAAGATCTTGCGTTATTATTAATTGTACGATTCTACATGTGCGTTGTAATCCTAAGATCTCTACTATTTGTTTTGCTTTGTTGTGTTCTGCATAGAAAATTTTCATTAGTTTATACGTATTTTTATTCATTTATGATATCTCATTTATTATATAAATATATTTATATATAAATATATATGGAGTATCAAAATATTTATGATTAAATATTAAATAATACAAAAGAAAACATTTAGGAATGTGTTCGTATATGTCCGTATTTTGTTATGCTCATGTTACATATGAAAACCTGTTCTGATCATCGGGCCAGCTCAGGTGAGCTCGGCTGTGCTCCTATTCCTTTGGTTCCTTCCACGGGCGGATCTACGGGGGGGGGAGGCTTTCGGGCTGAAGCCCTCCCCCCAAATGGTAAAATATAACCATGTTTTATCGAAAAAAATATTAAAAAAGTATCTCTTAAAGTATTATTGTTCGTGTAATTACATTTAAAAGGGCTTTAGGGATCACTTAAACACCATTTCATATAGGTAGTTAGTTTCTTTCTTTTTTTCCAAAGTAATTATCGTTATTTTTATGAAAAAAAACAACTTTCGGGCTTAAGCTCCGCCCCCCAAAAAAATAAATCTTGGATCCGCTAGTGGTTCCTTCAGTGCAACTATTCTCTATTACGATCACATATTTCTCCTTTAATTAATTATAAAATTCTTTCATATTTTATATTCAACTATTTTTTAAATTATAGATAAATGTGAAATGGTTAATTGCTTCAAATAATAAAAATTAAAGGTACTTTAGAGAAAGCTTATTTTGAAAATTAGCTATTTAAGCCCTGTTAGAGAACATCAATGAGAACAAAACTTTAATATTATTATTATATATTAATATTATAATAATATTAAAAACTGCTTAATTTTTCACTGATATAAAGAATTTAATCAAAATCATTGGAGTCGTTTTCGAGAAAATAGTAAAAGTGTAAAACTTCCCACAAAAAAGTATCCCTTTTTTATTTAACAGCTTTTACAACACTAGTCATATGTAATCACCAGAAATAAGTCTTTGCCATCTTCTATCCGGCTAATATTCTTCATGCATAACCCGGTTCATCTATTCCTTAACTCTCTCATAAGCATATAAAAAGTATCCCTCACATACCCAAACATATTGCCATTATATCTTTAAAAAAAATTTCAGGAGAGGTGGGATTCCTCCCAACCAAAGAAAATTAATATAAAAAAAAGTAGCCCTCACCTACCCAAACATATTGCCATTTTATCTTTTAAAAAATCAGATGAGAGAGTTAAATTCCCCTTCCACCACAAAAAAACAACAGAGTATTATCCATCTACCCAAACATATTTCTACTACATTTAAAAAAAAAAAAAAAAAATGATCGGAGGAGGGTTACTTGCTAAAAAGTATTATAATGAAAGTTCCTTTACTGTTAACTTTTTAAAAATAACAATGAAAATTTGGCTAATATCATTCTTAGGATTTCAATAAATGAAACAATTCAAAACAAAAAAAAAAAAAAGATATATTTTTGATTAATATTTTCACTAGAGGTAGTACAGAAATGATTATACTTGAATACCTTATATATTATGTAATCATAACTGCTTCATAAAATCACACAGACAATAAATCTTACTGTTTATTATAGTTTTATTAAATACAGACTAGTGAACTGGTTTTAAGTTCCAGCAAATTTTGGTAATATACATATGTAACTTATTCACCTTTAATACTGAAAGTAGATTATAAACAACAATATTGCATATAAATTCATTTTGTATTTAATAACTAAACTTATTGATTACACACAGTACTTAATTTCTAATTCACTACTTTTAAATGATCCAATTGATCCGAGGTAATCTTATGCTATTCAAAGACAAAACGTCACATTT